ATGACGACTCTTACCTAAAGGCACAACAGCCTCCTTTCAGTTCCAGAGTTAGGTATAATTTTGGAATTATGTCCTTCTCTACTTTAACATTGCTTGTTTATTTACTTTATAGCTATTTTTATATAATAATTATCATTACCTTAGCTACACACAAGAACAAGCATTTCATAAATAAGATTCAAAGACAAAGTCTGTCCACTACAGCTCCACAGTAAAACTGAATTCTGTGAGGTAACTACCTGGCAGTGATTTGCCATTTTATGGAGTGCCTCTGACAGAGCACAACTGACAGATGAAAGTTAAAGTGGTCTCTTGGAGTAAACACATTGGAAAGCTTTGAGTTTGTCTAAATTAAATGGAGGGGGTTCTTATCTGAGAGCCAACAAGCATTATGCTTTCTGGACCCTGTGGTTTGTCAGCGATCCTCACAGGTGAGCTCACACTGGGCGAGTGTGCACAATGGGCACTGCCCACTCTCCAACCTGACTCACACATTATTTTGTTAGTAGTCAAAACTAAATTTAGCACTGGTTTATAATACCTAGTTAGCTCATCCATGAGCCCTCTGTTCATCATTTCTACCTTTGAATTTTTAAGGATCAGGATGAGAAGCTGATATTTATTCAACTTCAATGAGATAACATTGGTGATAAAACTACATTTAAACCTTTGTAGGCAAGCTTTGCTCCTGCTGGATTCTTATTAAGTAAGAGCCTGCTGACTCCTTCTTAGTATCCTGCACTCAACTGATCTTTTTGTAGTTTTTTTTTTTGTTTTTTGTTTTTTTTTGTTATATATTTAATTGTCATCAAGCTAAAGTGACACTATGAGGGGAAACCCATACTGTTAAACAGTTTAGAACTTAAAGACTGACAATAAAACACTTGATTATTATGAGAATATATCCAAGTGGGCACTAGAAATATTAAGGGAGAAGACATGAGTGATTAGAAAAGGCTCATTCTGATACTGAAATACTTTTACATGTTTTCTCAAACTTTTTTAATTTTTGCTAGTGAGGGCTCAGTAGAGTTAGGACTCGACCTCAAAAAATCAAACCTAGACAATAGCACCACCTTGTGTTACAAGAGTGTTACAGGATTAAGACTCAAATTTTAGTCTGCAAGAAGAAGAGAGAATATGACAAACTGAATTCTCTGTTTTTGTATATGGCATATGTGTGAACTTAACAAAAATAAGGGAGAATTCTAACTCGTTTGATTATATTACATTATCAATTCAATGTTTATGTCTCTGTCATATAATTTTACGAACTGTGAGGAGACAACTCTAGCTATCCCTTATCAGAATCAGAATCAGCTTTATTGGCCAGGTGTGTCTGACACATGAGGAATTTGGCTCTTGTACATCAGCTCTCAATGTGTATGTACATATCCCATTGAAAGGGGCAAGTAAACAGTAAACCAGCATAAGGCTGTGTAATATAACAAAAATAGGCAGTATTAACAAGCAACAGAAAGTGCAAACAATGCAGAATAAGCAGCATGGACAGACAACGAAGGAATGTTCTTTGAAATGAGATAAATAGGGATTAAAATAGAGTGCTTAAAACGGAGTATTAGAGACCTGTATGAGTCTCTTATGATGAAGATATTTATTTTAATTTTTAGATATAAGAATAAATAAAGTTGTTACATTAACTAATATAATAAACTATATTGCTTAAATACTTCAATGAACATTTCTATCAGTGCTAACAAATTGCACATCCTCTCAGAAGAGGGGAAGATAACTGAAAACAGTATTAATATACAGTATAATGAGCACAATGACGATGATATTGTGGTCAGATTCATGACGGCTGCATATATTTCTCCATACAATGCCTTAAAATGAAAGAACCTTTTCTAAGGTTGTAAAAAGTTCCTTATTCTTCTCGTAGCCTTTGTTTCTCTTCCCAGGCCGTCTACTTCATCTGCCTCACTGCACTTCTCTCTTGGATGCAGGAAGACATAGTACCACACTAGACTTACCAGCCCCAGCACTGAGCCTACAATGATTAAACCACAGACTGTCAGCAAAAATCTGTCTGTCTGCAACTCTGGCTTCAGAAAAGCCAGCAATAATAGAGCCATATTATTTATAAAAGTATGGCAACTGTAATAGATGATCATAGGTACTTTCGTGTCCTGTCCTTTCACATTGAAAAAAGTGAATGTGAGGATGACTCCTGTCACTGCCCTGTAGAGCAGCTCAAGGTATTTGGATGAGCAGAAGTTGGTCTGAAGCAATTGTGTCCAGATCATCCCCAACAAACAGAGGATGATGAGAGCTATTATGCTGTAGATGTTCAGTATCAGGAGGAGGCTGTAGCTGAGAATATGGCTGGTGATGGTGCAGAGTTTGTAGAGGAGGTAGACTGCAGTGGGGATGCCAGGCGGCATCTCCTTGATATGGGGCAGAGATCTGCGCAAGCAGCGGCGATAGTCCACCAGGGCCCAGGCAGTGTTAGAGAGGGAGAAAGCCATGGATACATCTAAAAGAAATGAACAGGCTGCTATAGTATATATATGCGCTAAAAGAAATGAACAGGCTGCTATAGTGCTACTTCATATGCAGAAAATGTGATAGTATGTCAATTTCTGCATGTACTTACATTGCATGACTGAGTCCTCATCTCGGCCCTGCACTATGTATAGCTGTAGAAGAAGCTGGGGAACGCTCTCCAGGAAAACCTCAAACAGTTTGAGCATGCTCAGATCAGTAGCCAGGCTAAACAGACTGGGGTGCGTGTGCACATGCACATCCCTGCTCTCTTCCAGTGTATGAGACTTTTTTGTTGTCCAAACCACTTTGGAACCTTTGTTCAGCAGATGATAATACCTAGCAACAAGTCAAACATAACATTACTACGCAACATTTTTCATCACTTGCTGCTGCAGAGACGATGAAGAATTTGTAAGGTGTTATCCCAGCATCATGCAATGTAGCTTACATGCAGCTCAAGTTATTTTGCACATATAACAGCAAGAGTCGCTGTTCTTAAGCTGCAGCACTCTTATCACAGTCAATCGCTTGCATCACTATTGCTCATTTCATACCTGATGAAAATGCCAACACCTAAGACGTGCAGGAGGGTAAGTCCACCTTTGGATATTCCCGATATCTGTTCCTGTGGTTTTAGCAGATCCTCCTTTATGTCATCCCAGTACCAGGCACAGCTGAAGATTTGGGTCACCAGTAGTCCAGCCAGAACAAACAATATGGTCAGGCCGGTCCAGACCCATTGTTTCTCTTGAAAATACATCAAAGCCAAACTAATGTCTGTGTAGATGTCCGCAACATACAAGAAGAGTCCAGCAAAGGTCAATAACCACCGCAGTCTTGTAAACTGAATGTCTGGGTTACGCATTTTGTTGTCACGCTGTAAAACACGATACAGAGATTTAGTGAAATCACTCATGGTTTTTCATTGGCTCAATATAAACATGTAAGTTTAGTTTAGGTAACCTAAGTCATTTTTTAAGGCAGCAAGTTAGCATGTAGTTCTAAATTGAACCAACTCTAAATAATTCACAATGGAATGAAAAGTTCCACTTTGTACTGGAGGTAGAAATGTTGTTCATACTGTTTTGCATTGAAGTTTTTGAAAAAAACCTGCTTTGGACAGTTTCACTTTGGACCTTGGTATTTCATGTGCCATTTGATCCTACCTGCAAAAGCAATACAATGTGAAAAAATATGAGCATTTTGAAAAAGACAGCATTCATAAACCTTAAATATTTTTGCATGACCAAATACTTTAAAAGCAGCTTCTCTTAAGACTGGTAATGTTTTGTGACATGACTGCAGTCAGCTACTGCATCATCCTGCACTTTGACCTGTCATGAACACTTAATTATATAAAGCTGATAAATGGCCTGCTTACTAAATATAAAATGATAAAATACACATTTAGAACTCTTACATAACATAGATTTTTCTTGTTTCTCACAGAATGGCATTTTAAGACATATTTACTAATAAAAAGAATAGTAAAATCTATTAACATACTCTAGCTTCAATGTCATTTTTAACTGTTAATGAGATGACATTAGATGATTAAGATTACTGACAACATTTAAGGCCAAACTATTCAAAGGAGCACACTGTCAAAAGGATGTTTACATTATCTTCAGTTCAATAAAATGAAGCGATAGCTGTGTTAATATATTATGCTAAGCTCAGGTACCAATCCCAAATGGATCATGTGACAGGCCTTAAATTATACAAGTATCAGGACAGGTCATCCTACAAAGGTGATCTTTGTAGGTAGTTACAGTAAAACACAAACACACAGTAAATGAACTTACCAAATTATGTTGTCCATGGTAGACAGCAGTGACGGCTGCCACAGAAGCAAGCTCTTCTATACATGGCTCTTTCTCTTTCTCTTTCTTTGAAACAAGTGGCAGTATGCTCCACCTCACTCTAAATATAATCAAGGGGGGGGAATGTGATTACATAATAGATCTGCGTGCCTGTGTGCATGTGGGTGTGTCCATGAGTGACTGGGTGACAGTTTAAGCCTTCCTATGCCTGGCTACATCCCTGGCCATGAAGAAAAATGCATCTTTTACAGTAATTACTGTGAACACAGAGGACAGGATTGGTGATGTGACACTTGCACAATGTTTTTTCTATAATTGAAGTACTTACAGTAAGTGCGGAAGCAGCCTTATCAGCAATCAGAAACTAATTAGTTTTATATGACAGTCATAATTTTGACAAACTTATAAATAAATGCTTGTACATCATAACAGAGGTGAGCTGTTTTAAAGTGAATTGACGATTTTGAGTCAGTATACTGACTTTATGACTTTAATACCATTATCTTACCATAAAACTGCAACTCGTGATCACACTTCAGCAAAAGTTGTACAGCACTGCTTTGACTTAGTACATTTTATTATGCTGAATTGTTTTATGTCACCAAACCCAAGTTCCAAATGCATTCAGTTCAAATGCAGTGCTTTTGTGAGGATACATTTTCACCTCTTGTTTCCTAAAGTACTGGCTTAGAGTGTATGAATTGTTTAACCTTTGATCGGTTGTGGTAGGTCCACTGAGAGGTCACCTCTCTCTGAATACCCTGACTACTCTACTTTCACACAGTTACATACAGCAGGGTACAACCACTGGGGGGCCTTGTGCAAAGGCAACAGTGGTGGAGATGATGCTCTACTTTGTTCCACCCTGATTCCTACAGATCATACAGATTCGTACAGGCCTCTGTTTCTTGCATTGTTTACTGCCGTCTATACTGCTTATTTTTGGTATATTACACAGCCTATGCTAGTTACCGTTTACTTGCCCCTTGCCCTGGTCTCTATTTTAAGTACTCTGTTTTTGTTCTACCTCATTCCTATTATCTTATCTCGATGAGCATTCTTCCCCCTGTCTGTCTGCATTTTTTTTACTGCCTGTTTATGCTGCTTAATTTTGCATCGTTTACCCTGGTTGTTGCTTGTTAATACTGCCTATTTTTATGTTATACAGCCTTATGCTGGTCTACTGTTTATTTGCCCCTTGCATGGGGATATGTACATACATATTGAGAGCTGATGTACCAGAGTCAAATTCCTCGTGTGTCAGACACACCTGGCCAATAAAGCACATTCTGATTCTGATTTAATTCTGCCAGTCGAGAGAGACAGACAGAAGCTTCTCCAACTTTAGACCACCTCTACCAGCCTTTATTACTGATAGGCTCCCACTCCTGTGGATGGGTTGGTAAGGCAACCTTATTTGTATTGCATGTGGAAAACCTTTCCCAGACCTTTGGAGGCTTTACCAGTGACTCCAAACACTGGGATCTCCATTGGGCCTGGACATAGGATAGCCATAGCCTCTATAAAACACACTACTACGGTCACTGAGCTCAAAGTTATAAAGAGCACTCCGTACTCCAAGCCTCTAGGTGGCGACAGAGAATCTCTGCTCGTTCTCTCCTGTGCGTCGAGAGCGGCTTTGCTCAGGCGCAGCGGCTCCTTCTCCGTGGACCCTCCCACTAGTATAAGAGTGACACGCCATTCAATCCTTGCCTGGCCCAGTGCTCGTAGAAAGCTAGAGGCAGCATTGAGCGTTTTCGAACTGCAGGATAATAATATTATCTGATAGAAACCGGCTACATCCGCGCTGCGTAAAGCTAAAGTCGCACCTAACCGAGTCGACATGGGGATCCGAAAGAAAACTAACAAGAATCCGCCGGTGCTGAGCCACGAGTTTGTCATCCAAAACCATGCAGATATTGTTTCTTGTGTTGCTATGGTTTTCCTTCTCGGGCTGATGTTTGAGGTAAGTCTCGTCCACATGTTGAATGTGTTTTAATGTGAATCGTTGGGATGATCGGCCGGTACAGTGGACGGACCATCCGTGGGCAAGATGCCCAGTACTCCCCATCTGTCCTCCTGGAAACTGACATGGCTGTCTGAGCTACTCTTGACACTTCCTCCTGTAATCGAAAGTTTTCTGTGAACGACGGCCTTGCTCCCACCCCCCTACAAATGATCAACTCATTCGGGTGGACTTGAATTAGGTTTGCGTTAAAATCAGATGTTTTTGTTTTATTGAAACGATGAAGGAGAGCGTTCACTTTCCAACTGGCTGCTTCCCACGTTGGAACCACTGAAGCCGCCCGTGTACACGCACGCATTTGGATAATAAGAACAAAGTTTCTTATGTGCACTATTTTTTTATTGAATGTCGTAGTTATGTTTTAGGTTTGCAAAGTTGTATCGATCTCGGTGCTTGTTTTATTGTGCAACGCTCCCGGTTAGTTCAAGCGTAGATGTGTTACGTGGCAATCATACAACGACTCAGAAGGTTGTCATCACACAAAGCAACTTGCACCAAATGAAACTTTGTCCTTGGGCCAAAGAGCGTTTTAAACACAAGTCGATGCTGTGGAATTAGAAAATGACCGTGTCTGTGCTCCACGATGATCCACTTTCTCTCACAGTCGTGTTCAATTACGTTTCGTTCTCAGTGAAAAGTAGCGTCACAGGCGTCATGTTGGCCAAATTTAGCGCCGCTACCAGTTTTTGTTTTCCTGTGTAAAAAAAAAAAAAAAAAAAACATGCATATGAACAGCTGTGATGGCAGCATTTTAGATTTGTCATCATAGCTGTGTGACAGTTTTATTCTAGCACAAAACGGATGGGCCCTAATGTGCGTTCAATAATAATTGGTGCCTTACTTAGGACTTTTGTTGTGAAGGAGGAATGTCCAACTTCCTGTTTTAATTTGCCGCTCCTTCGTTGGATTCTTTTTATTGGATTCTTTCTATTGCACATCTGTGTAGTAGTACTGTTTTTGTAAGCCCCAAAGGCCATTTGAAAAGCAACTAATGGGTTCTGTTTATATTTCATTTAAATCATCCTAAAACCCCAAAAGGAGGAAACCTGTGGTGCTCTATCACAATGTTATTGTTGTTGTTACAACAGCTCATATTTCCCATATGGTCTGTAATTTTGCGTGCATGCTTTATTTACTATGTTTTTTTTAACATCTTTTGTACACAGGTTACCTCAAAGTTTGCAGTCATATTCATAACTGTCCAGTACAATGTCACCATATCAACACCTGGTAAGTTGAGGATTAAACTGAGAGTGTGTGTGTGATGTGTGAATGTATTAAGATCAGTGGTGCATTGTTTGTTGTACACGTATAATGCAGTATTTATTTTTCTGGCAGTCTTTCATTTGGATTCTAGAGTGGTACTTTCATCACCTTACACCGTCTCATGTGAAAGCTCCTCTTCCCCCTTTGGAGCTAAATTTAGTCTGCCTGATTTATAAGTTCTCTTGTGGCAAAGTTGTGTTGGTCAAATTTGGGCTAAGGTGTAATACAGGCCTCTCAAATCAAGGCCTACTCGTTTCAAGGTTAATAGTTTCTTTGCCAACTTTAAGTTCTGTGTGTGTCCGGCCCCAGAGCTTATCCAAACTGCTGCACAGGCTACAGGTTTGCTGACTGTAGGTTGCTGGTTCAGTTCTTATCTCAGAGCCTTTACCACATACCCAGCTCAGTAATTGATTTACAACCTGTATCTTAAAAGACAAATAACATGCAGACCCTAAAACTCTTTGCAGTGAAACAATTCAGTTATGCCATTTTTTTTTCTTTAACTGAAAATGATGTGATCAATTCAGTGTTTTTGTCTGTCTCTGTGCAACAATCTGTCACATTATTTAGTGATTCACAGATATTGGGGTGAAGGCTGTGTAACTTTAGAAAGACAGGAGAGACTCTGTGTGTGACTTTTACTGTGCTGATGCAGGCTGTGACTTGCATTTTCACGGTTGTGTAACACTGCGCGGTCTAGACTCACTAATCCAAACATTTCACCTCAAGAGTTTGTTGCTAAACTTGTGAATCTCTTGATTTGGCTCAACAGTTCATGTTAAGGATCAAAAAGCTGCATGAACTAGGACATCCTCCATTATGATTAGAAGTATATATTTTTTTTAAATTGTTGTCACAGTGATGACTGTGCATGACTTGTGTGCGTGCTACAGAAGGCCTGGAGGAGACACCCATGAGCCACTTCCACCATGGCATCAAGGATTTGGCCACGGTCTTCTTCTACATGCTGGTAGCCATCATCATGCATGCCATTATTCAGGAATATGTGCTGGATGTAAGTTAGACAAACACACACTCGAATACACAGAACTTAATTTCTGTGAATAGACCTGCATAGTTTATTGCTGTTCATCTTTGTAGAAGATGAACAGGAAGAAGCACTTCTCCAAAACCAAGCACAGCAAGTTCAATGAGTCGGGCCAGCTCAGTGTGTTCTACCTATTCTCCTTTGGCTGGGGCACAAGCATCCTGCTCTCTGTATGTACCGTACAGTAGTGAAGCTTTACAGATGTCATTATTATACCCAACACTGTCCAGCAATGCACTTTAAATGCCTCTTTGTTGTTAGGAAAATTTCCTGTCCAATCCAGTCACCCTATGGGAGGGATACCCCCACACACTGATGCCGTAAGTACCCATATAAAATGTTCTGTGTATCTGGTTGACCATATGCATTTTAGAGAGAAATTCACTGTTTTTTTTCCCCCTGTGGTTTATTTATTTCAAGTGTGCCTTTTGAACCACTAACACATTTTCAACTGTGGCTTTCCTACAGGTTCCAGATGAAATTCTACTACATTTGTCAGCTGGGCTACTGGTTACATGCTCTTCCGGAGCTGTACTTCCAAAAGACAAAAAAGGCAAGTGTGTTTGTGTGTACCAGGGCACAGCATTTTCGAGTAGGGTGCGTACTGTACCGCGGCTTCTGTTTGCATGCTGAAGCCGTTTCCTGTTTGACTTCCTTGATTATGTTGCATTGTTTCAAATAATCAAATTCAGAGCCACGCTGTTGTAAATATTTTGACCCCCTTTTTAGGAGGATATTCCACGGCAACTTGTGTACATCTTCCTGTACCTGGTCCACATTGCAGGCGCCTATATTCTGAAGTAAGAGTTGCTATTTCAGAAAGGCTGATATGTTTGACTGCGTGGAATGTGTGACACTTCCCTTATGTTTGTACACTGCCCTTCAGGAGAACGTTACTAGCACAGGAACATTGTTTGCAATCTGACCTTAAACTAAAGCCTCTCTAGTGGAGCTCCTGTTATGTGTTTTAAAAGAGAGTCGTGTTTTTCAGTCTGAACCGTCTGGGTCTGGTCCTGCTTGTGTCGCACTACTTTGTTGAACTACTGTTCCACGTTTCCCGCCTGATCTACTTCAGCAATGAGAGCAGACAGATGGGGTGAGTTCACACTTTCTCCTTTCACACAGTTCAGACTTCTTTATGTGTGCTAATCATTTGTATACATGTACAAATACACAAGTACATTCCTATATGTTAGGGAGTCTTGAATGCATCATGATGATCATCCTCCTGTCTTCCAGTTTCACCGTATGGGCCGTCTTGTTCGTCCTTGGCCGGTTGCTCACCCTGTCCTTGTCTGTGCTCACGGTTGGCTTTGGCCTCTCCACAGCAGAGAATCAAGGCTTTGATTTGGCTGCAGGAAACTTTAACATTTTTTTTGTTCGGTAAGCTTGTCTAAAAAGAGAAAAGGGGATTAATCCTTGAATAATGTTTTTAAATTGCTAATAGAATTAAAAAGCTGCAAACAATGGTCTTAAATGTGTAATTCATCAATATATATTTTAGTATTATTACACAGAGATAGTCCCTGTACTGTTGCAGTAGACTTTAAGACTATTTTGATCAGCTTGGCCATTTACTATAGAATAATGGAACAAGAGCTTCTTTCTTTACTCAGCATGAACAGCTCTGTGTAGAAAAGGAAGTGCATTGTCATCGACATCAGCTTCGATATATTACAATGAAATGCAATCGCAGTACATTTTCACATGCGAAACTAAGGGAAAGAATTCTTGGGTTTATTAAGATGTTCCTGTATGCAGAACCTCACCTCTGGTTCACTAAAGAATTTAAACAGTATTTCAGAGTAGGACATTTTTAATTATGCTTTGAGTTGCAGTCTGTTAACTCTTTCTCCTAGGATAACTGTCCTGGCTGCCATCTGCCTTACTCAGGCCTTCATGATGTGGAAATTTATCAACTTTCAGCTGCGCCGGTGGAGAGAGCATGCCCAAGCTCAGACCTTGAAAAAGAAACAAGTTCCTTCCAAGAGCAAGTCAAAGAAAGACAAAGGTGAGGGATGGTGTGTTCACTGGCTTTTTTAAAAAGTCATGAGTGGATTAAAAGGTAGAAAATTGTCATAATAAATATAAGGTGGCATACTTTAGAAAACAACCTATACTTTCAGTTCTTCTTATGATGCATATGAAATGAATCATAAGCTTGCCTCTCCTTTACATGGAACTTATTTGGATATAATTTGGTTGTTTTTAGCTAATGGAGTAAACGGAGTGAGTTCTCATGGAGCTGATTCACCAAGAGCAAGAAAGGAGAAGGCATCATAAAAACCTTATCCTCGGCCCATCGCATCGTTTCTCCGTGGCCATGTCAGACCAGCAGACCCTCTGTCATGATAAGCATTTTTAGCGCCCCCTCAGTTGGACTCTAAAGGCCAGAATGCATTTATCTTTGCTTGTCAGCAGTCATTCAACACGCCTTGATTTGAGAATTATTGCTTCACTGTGCCATTTCAAATCAAAAGAAGACAAATTCAGAAACTGAGCAAACGCTTATTTAATAAGTGCCTATTGATATGGCTTGTTTTGTAAAGGGTGTGTAATTTTAAAACTTCAGGAATAACAGTGTTTAATGTTTATCCAAAGTCATGAATTTTCAGTGTTTTTCTTTTCTTTCTAAATGTGTATTCCCACTTGTTTTAGTTTCCTCTTGCATTTAATTGCTAGCTCAGCTCTTTGCCACCGACCCCTGTCCGTCTTTTGAGGGATTTTTGCAGACATTGTTTTTGAATTTCCCTGAAACATTTGCATCTCAATTTTTAGGCTATGATTAGGTTGACATCACAGACAATTAAAACCCATACAGCAGGACACTGTTGGTGTTTTCACCACATTTCTCACCAACACCATTTCTGACTGTGCTAAATGAGCTCGACTGACTGTTGATATGTCTCTTACTTGTATGCCATAAAATTAGTTCACAAATCTATACAGTGCAGTCACCTGTATTTTAAGAATCGGTTACCCAGGTATGTTTGGCTTATTCAAAGGAATAACCCTGTTAACTAATTTTAGGTAGGCTTGAAGTAGAATAGATCAGCAGTGTATGTGTTTGTTCTGAGGGTTTTATCCTCAAATGGAATAAAATGTTTTGTTGAGGGGGAAAAAAAAAAGCATTCAGAATAATCATGTGGTTATATTAGTTGTAGCCTTGACCACATACACAAATAATTATATGGAGAAACAAAAAATTAAGGGTAAAATAGCATGTTTTGTGAATGTTGTAGCACAAAGTACATTCTTTATTTGCCATTTCAATCAATGCACTGGCTCTGAAATTGAACCTTTTAATGGAAAATTTGACTTTTATTTAATACATAAATACATATGATTTATAATGATGCTGACTGAGCCGCCTCAGTTCACCCTCACTACTCGCAGAAAAGGATATCAAAATATCTGTTAAATACTTGGGTTTATCATATGGGTTCCAATGGCAGCATACCGGAAAACCTGGACAATTTTCCAGTCCCGGAAGACTGGTCATAAACAGGAGAAACCAACCTTGTACTTTCATCCAGATTTGATAAGTTTAAGTGCTTTTTGTTCTAGAACTAAGAATGAAGCAAAATGGAGTAAAGTTTACAAACCCAATAAGGGTTTCACCAATTTGAAACAGAGTTTTTAAAAGTAGTGAATTGGGACAAAGATATAAAAATCACAAAAACATCCAGTACAGCTTGGGTAATAAAAGTGAGGATGTTTTCAAAAATAATTGCTTTTATCAATCAATGAACATCTTAAAATGTGCAGTAAATTAAATCGGTATTTGCTGTTACCACCATTTGCATTGGTACGCCAACATGCAGTTTTCGCGATATTTTGTCCGGTAGATTGTTCCAGCATCTCAGAGGACTTTCCACAGGATTTTGGTGAACTCATTTTCTGTTTCTTCATATAATGCCAGACTGACTCCATGATGTTGAGGTCAAGGTTCTGTGTGGCCAGACCATCTGTTGCAGGATGCCTTGTTCTTCTAGTCTCTGAAGATATATGACTTTGGCTTATTGTCATGGGCCTTATGCCACTGAAAGTGTCCTGGAAAATGAGTTCTTGAAAATCTTGCACATTTTATGTATTCACTTAACTTTTAACTTAATTTATCCTTTTTTTTTTATTCCAACATAAAAGTGCAGTTTGTTTTTCAAAGCCTTCATTTATTTATTATTTTGATGGCCCATAAGAGTAACATTTAAATGTAACTTGTCTTAAAAAAAAATACTGAAATCAAATCGGCTTGTAAAAGACCCATCATGTGTATGATTTCAACAAAATCCCATCCATTCACAAATAGGAGCACTTGAATATATACAAAGGTAGTGCCCTGGTACATTAAAATATTTACTGCACTGTAAATAATGAATGGCTTTATGGGTTGAGCACTGTAGTAAATGAGTCCTCTTAGGTAAACAATGACAATACAGTGCCTGTCTGCTGAAGTAATTGCTACAAAATCTAAACAAATGGTGGATGTGTAGGATTTCCTTTTCTAGTCTTCACGCTGGCTCACACCAGCAAAACCGATAGAAACTGTTGTAACACACGTCGGCCTCGTGGTGGCAGTGTTTCACATATTTTGGTTCCAAGAAAACGCCTGCCAGTTTGAGCAGTGAACAGTTGACCAGACAATAAATCAAGGTAACTCAAGGATGCAGAACACGCCTAATTGTAAACATTTTAAGGCAAATAATGCTAGCTGCCGTTTGTGTTTCAATACGTTTTGTTTATTTTCTTAAACAAAAATCACATTTATGGTGTCTGCTGAAAAAGCTGCACATTTTCTCCAATACTGCCAGTGATAGGCCAAGTGTTAGTGACAAAAAAAATGAACTCGGGCAGACTGAAATTGAACTTTTAGTGATTTCATTACTGGAAGCCCCAGCTGCATTCCTTTCACCGGTTTTTTTTAGGAGCCTATTATAGGGTGACATAAATCTTTATGACCTTACATTTACATCCATCTTTGAAGTATTCCCACCGCTGTAGATGCAGGCATACTGGTAAACAGTATTCTGTGCTTTGTTAAGGTTTTTATTTTTGCTACAGTGGTGTTTTTAAGTAGGCTGTAAAATCTAAGAAAAAAATTTTTAGGCATAAATGTGTCATCTGAGACATCTGTCTTGCTTTCCTCTTTAACATTTTAGTGGTTGTCAGATAAACCAGCCTGCAAGTACAGTGTCATTCTTACAGGTATATGGAGGAGTTGATATTGCTGGGGCCCCGTGATGTGGTTTTGCTGTGGGGGAGGAAAGCAGCTACCAGACAGATAAACACAGAGCATTGGTTTGCAGAGCAGCAGTAATATGGCGGCACAGTTAGCCAGCAGAAATGTTGTTTCACTACTGCGAAGGTCAGAGCCACTTCGGATAAACGGAATTTAACAGCGAGGACGCAGCCGACAGTATTAATTTGTAAGTAGTCACGCGTGTTGGTGCTTATTGTGTAGACCCTTTTGTTGTGAAATCCAGTTTCCAGTGCGAGGTCTTCAATCTCGGTTGTGTCTCTATCTGGCACGGGTTCTCGCTTCGGCGTTAGCCTATTAGCAGGCATTAGCTGCTCGGCTAAGCTCGGTACCTCTGTCAATAATGGTTTCTGCTGCAAATCAATTAGACGCCTCGGACAGTGAGCGTGCAAACGAGTGGTCGCAGTGTTTATTTGGTAGAAGTATGGTTACTTTATGTAAAATTAAATGTTGCATGCACAATACTTAAATGTCTCAGCTTTTAGTGCCGAGTGAGCAAGTGCCCGTGCACGGAACACTGGACGAAGTTCGCCAGTGTATCTGGGAGTTAGCATGCTAACTGTTTAGCTGCAGGCTAGGTTCACTGCTTGAACGTCGTTGTCAGCAATGTACGAGTGTCAGGACAGTTTTCACTACATCGTCTTTGAGCGGGCCGTTAACCTTGTTTACAGTGGTATTAACTATGCGTCTAAGCTACGTGCTACTTTGTCTAAGTTGGCGACATTTATGTGTTTGTTCTTGGTGCATTTTGCTCTTGCGTTTGGCAGGCGTTAAAATGCATCGTCGAAGGTTAGGCTAATCAGATGCCAAGCTGTAATGTGAGCACTTTGACACTTAAACCAGTAGCCTCGGACATTTGGCAAAATATATTTATTTACAATCTTGTTCATGGACTGGAGAGTGCTTGCGTTTTGTTGTGGCATTGCTTTCCAAAACGACAGAGAACTTAATCTACAAAGTAATTAGGTCGCAACGCTATTACTCCAGGTTAATGTAGGCTTCATCATGGAGATGGTAATAAAAGCTCAGTCTTAAAGAGATTGCAGAAGAGGCTCTCTGAAAATACAAGGCACTAATACAGCACGAGGGAATGCTGCTTGGAGGTTTGACTTGTGTGTTGCATTGTTGTGCACTCACTCCTAAGAGCTGTCCTGCTTGACTGATGTAGAACTATACTGACAGACAGCTTCTGCCATTTTAATGATTGTCTGTGTTCCTCAGTAAAGCTGGAGGAGACTGTTGCATCACTTTGTCCACCTGATGGTGCAGAGTGTTGGTGTCTTGTCATGATAGGAGATTTCGCATAGCATGTTGTCAAGCTGTGGTTTGCTGCAATTTCAGGGCTTCTGTGCAGATATGTGATGGATTGCATTTGATGTGCTGGTAGTCATATTTAAAGTAAATTCTCAGGAAGTAAAAAGATCATGCTGGATTGTGGTTCATATTTTAATGACTAATTCACTGAAAAGGGACAGTGTATCCATTGATGAGTTTATCTGTCTGTAAGTATTGTTGGTTAACCCCTCCTGCCAGGCTGAACAAGGTATTATCTGAAAGTAGTTGAAGTTATTTACATTTACAAGTTGCAGTGAAACAAATCTCACTCAGTATCTTTTTGCGGATAATGGAAGATCAAACAGTTTGTCCTTGAAAGATAGACAAGAAGTAAATGTTCCACCTAAACTGATCTGATTTTGAGAGTCAGATGAAGACATGGAGAAACACATGGGTCTGTGACAAAGATTTCATTACCATCCAGATGAAAGCATGTGTACCTAACCTTCTATAGTATGTAGCTTTTCTGGGTGCCCTAGCTTTTGTTGTATGCTTTGTTTTAAGGTGGAAATGTACAATATTGAGAATCATGCACCAGGGCTGTTGCCTTTGGCTAGTCTTATGAAAAACTGACCCCACAGTAGTATAACATTTATAACATTTTTAAAGTGATTTATGTAGACACTTGTATAAGACTATCTTCACAAATCACAAAAATGTAATTTATAATGATTAAAATAAACTATAGCAGAGTACTTCTTGCTCCAAGATTACAAACAGTCAATGTTTTGAGCCTGTGAACTGGGGTAAAACTATAGCATCATGTAATTGTCTTGAGCTTGACCCTTACTTTGGGCCCTTCCTGTGATCGTTAATAATGGCTGAGCTGAGGTCATCTGTCTTGTTTTGGTCAGTAAATTCAAGCAAAATGAGAAATTAGGCTATCTTAAATGTAATATGGAAGTGATTCCATTCATCACATGCGTCCCTAGGTAATTCAGGCTAATTTTTATTAGGGAATTAGGGCTGGTGATTATCTCTCTTTTGAATTTGATGTACTCACCATAATGTCTATGAATCTATAGATATGGTGAGCACACAGAAGTCATTGTTGGTTTTAGTTTCTGTGTGGAAATTGTGGCAAATATCAAAGTGATAGAAAATCACCAGCCTTGTTCTTTAAATGTTATCTAAACAATTATTCCTATTTGAGATGTAAAACTAAAGCCCCATTTCAATCATAATGAGTTTTAAAAGAATGAACATGTCTTTAAAACTCACTTGAATTCATTATGTTAGTGAAACATTCATTTAGAGCTCACATCTTCACTATTAGAAAAACCAAATTCTGCATCATCTTAAAGCTTAAGGTGATGTATGACACCTAAAAAATGAAGGAAACACTTTAAAGT